CCCCCAACATGTTTTACCTACAATCTCCTTAATACAGGGGTGTAGGGATGGTAGTCTGACTGGGTAAGCATCTCCTTTGTTCCCTCTATCAACTGATCTCACGTCAGTTTTAAGTCTCCTAGGAGAATCCTTTATACATATAAGATCATTGGGACATGCTTATGTGAAGGTATTATCAATTATTGGTTTTAGTGTTTTCATGGTTGAGATTCTGATGGAGAATTATTGCGTCTTATAAAATGATGTTTCTTCACTGACCAGGCACAAAAACGGTCTCCCCGGGTCTCTGGAGGATCTCCAGCGGTGTGAACTCTGGAGGCCAGCTGGGCTGCTGCGTCCGGGGATACACCACGTTGAACCAGGTGATAGCCTCGTCCTGCTGGTTGCCCCCTTCCTCTCGGGTCACCTTGATCAGCTCACGGGGCGTGTTGGTGGGGAACAGACACCACCTCTTGTGTCCCTGAACCAGGGCGTTCCAGGCGCTGGTGCCCAGTGGGTCGATGTGGATGCCAGTGCCCGAGCGAGCGGGGCCCATTACAAACCACCTGTGAGGGGACCAGAGGACAAACCCTGTTAGCAGTAACATCATGGCTCCGGTCGAATAGGAAGCAAAACAAATTATAAATCACGTCCTTCTCCTAATCTCTTTTCCGTGAACTGGATGACAAATGTGAAAAGGAAAGATGTTAATGAGAATTAATCAGGAATAAAGAAAAGAGACTGCACTTGGGCGATGTGAATGAAGTAGATGTGCCGTGCTGAAACCTCAATACAATTTTCTAAAGATGGATTACTAAAAGCGCATCTAGACACTTCTTTCTTGTTGAATCTTCTTGAAAATGCAATGTAATGTTGATCCATGTGATCTACTGTATATGAAAGTGGAAAAAAAGTGAAAAATAAAACTTGCTAAAACTTAGCAAGGGTGGAAACTGTAAAAAAAAAAAGGAAAGTAAGTGGTTGCTCGTGCTCATGTCCACATGTATTGCACCAACATGATTGTTGTATCGATATATCGTTTTAGGCCAGTGACGTCATCGATGACAAACGAAGGCCTCGCTGCCCGGCGATACCACGGGACTGCTTCAGATCGTGCTTCAGATCGTGCTTCAGATCGGTGGAACCACCGACACTTCAGTTTTACAACACTCATAATTAGGGATGCTCCGATCGCCAATTTTGGGGCCGATCGCGTGGGTGGGCGCTATGGGGATCTTCCATTTAAAGTGATGTTTAAAACTCAGTTAATGGGGCTCATTCACTGGAGCTTCCACAAACAACAACCAACATAATTATTACATTCAAATGATGTACATTATTCAAGTTTACATTAACTTTGGATAATAACACGGGAGAAATGAGCGGAAGCGCTCTCTCTCCCTCTCTCTCTCTCCTGACAGCCTGTCAGTATCAGTCTCATGCAGCTCACTGATCCAGTAATGAGTGACCCGACAGTGAAGAATAAACATATTTATAACTAGTTTAGCTTGTTCCAGAGGTAGATCAAATAGCTAAGTGTGTTAGGTCTAACTCTTAGTGTGTGTTTTGCTCCTCTCACCGGTCCGTCACAGCGGGTGGAGCTGCAGGATTTCTGCTTCACACACACTTTGCATACCGCTATTTTATTGTCTTTTTCGGACACCTTAAAATACTGCCAGACTGGTGAAGCCATTTTGGCGAGCTTGTTTTGGCCGATCGATCGGAGCATCCCTACTCATAATATCCCTCCTGTACCCGGGACGGTGCCGCGGTGGAAACGGAAGAGCTCAGACCCTCAGACCCCCTCTGAAGATTGTTTGTTTGTTTGTCTCACTTGCTGATGTGTGTACTGTGTCGGGCTGTGGGCGTGTGTGCAGTAACGGAGCTGAGGCGAAGCGCAGCGGACTAGATAGACTCAACACATCACTTAGTTTGGTTTCATAACCTGCTTACTTTTCCTGGGTTTAAATAAAGGTTTTGCACCAAATTACACATGCCAATTAAAACCATCTACAGACAGATCGGAGACGACGAGTGAGAAATAGAAATGCAGGAATGTGTTTATCGGCAGAGAATCGACTAAGACAAAGTATATTAAGTGTAAAGTAATACTACAGTGTTTTCAGGTAGAATTAGCATGTGGGCTGTGGCTCAGCTGGAAGGCAGTTGACTTTCAACTGAAGGGTCACTGGTTCAAGGACCGGTAAGTGTGTATTTTTTTTGTTTATAAAAGCGTCAGCTAAATGTAATAATGTAGTTAATGAATGTATTCTTTGTCGTTTAGCCTTTCTGAGGCTAAAACATGGTTAAGTTTACGAATATTATTTAGGAATAAATATCCCTCTTTGCAATGTTTACCAGCCTTCTTAGGCTTTTCAATCACAATCATTCAACAGGAATATATACAATATTGATACAAATTGATGACAAGAAAATATTTTATCTTCATTGTTTGAGTTATTCTAAGGCTTTACTCATTGGGAACTCGGTATAAGAAAGATCTCAATGTTGAGATGTCATATATGCCTGTTTTACACACTTTGACCAACAGGGGGATTTGTGTTCAAATGAAGCCTCATGAGATGAACCCTTTTGGAACCAATTGGCTGGAAAGCTTCAAAGCTTCACAAGGCTTCATCTCACCATCAATACTAAGAACGTCCTATTGTAAAATTCGACAGTAACACTCAGCTGAATGAGGCTTCATACTTGGTGTAGAAGAATTGGGAGGGATGAAACCGTCTTTAATGGTCACACATGCAGAGCACACAGCACACACAGTGACATGTGTTCTCTGCATTTAACCCATTCTAGTAAATATGTATGTGTATATACACACATATTAAATAACCTTTGAGTTGTTTGCATCAGTATACAGTATGCTGCCTATCTTATTTTGCGCAGTTTACTAGTAAATGTATGCACAGAACTATTTGTACACAGCTTGTTCCATGATCTATCCAGACTTCCTGTTGGAGGGTTTAAAAACATCCTGTGTCCGCTAGTCGGTTTGGAACTGCACTTAATGTGTCGAACTCGCAAACTGAGTGGCATTGGAGAGGGAGAGGAAATGCAACTGTGCAACATTCTTACTTCGTACTGGTTTATAGTCTTCTTCTTTATCTTAGCAGGCCCATTGTGGCATATATTGGTGTCTTATCACCAGTTATTGATCAGTGAAATTGTGTAACAATTGGTAGCACTGTGTAAAGTTTGAACAGGAAATCAGAGACCCACTCATTGATAAAACCGCTCATGGAGGTGAAATGTAATTATCTGGAAAGTGAAATTATCCGACCTGTACGGTGGTCTGCGCTTCTCCCCTGCAAACTGGAACAGGTCGTCCCTGAAGAAGAGCGGCACCTGGTAGTCCTCCAGCAGTTTGCGGCGTTTGGCGTGTTCACCGTAGCTGCTGTCGAAGATGTAGAGCGGGCTGTCGTCCCTGGTGGTCTCCAGGTACTCCATGTAGTACTTCATCTTCATCTTCACCGAGTACCCATCGTTGTCCTCCCCGCACTTGAATTTCTGGTTGCGGTATTTACGTTTAAGGCGCTCAAGGGTCCACTTTTCCCGGGCGGGCCAGGTCTCCTGGCTGCTCTGCAGGACAACAGGCTTGTAAGGCCGCTCAAAGCGCCGGATGAACTCTTCTGGGCTGAGGTGGAGCGTGTCCACGCGCTCCACATTATCCTGTAACACAACAGATATTAGTAAAACATGGAACGGAATTTCCAAATTCATCACATACTCTTCTGTCCATCTGGATAACAAAAGGGTTCAACCTGTTAAATAATACATCTTCTTTTTTAAATATATATTTCCCAACCTTTGAGACAGGACATTTCCAGCTTCCATCTCTATTCTATGTTCGGATAAGAGCTTTAGAACAATGTTGTGTCAACAAATTGTCAAAAATCCTCCGATTTTATTTTATTTTTTTCACGTTTGACTATTGATCTATTTGATACGACCATTACATCGTCACTTTACCTTTAATACACTTTAACTTAGTTGTGAGTGTGTGTGTGTGTGTGTGTGTGTGTACATATATCTTACATTTAGCACTTTTTATATCTTAAGTATATATCTATTCGCCTAACTTACAAAACATAAATAATGAGCATTGTTGGATGGAGCCAGATTTGTTGGTACGATTTTCTTTGTTATACCATAATTGTGCATTTCAGAATAAATAAATACATTAAAGTCCATTAATATAAAACGCATGTATTCCATCAAACAGCTTAAAACAATTAAGTATGTGATAAAGTATGAATAAAGGGTTCAGAGCCTGAAATTATACTAAGATTCACTTTAATTGTTTTGTGAAAACCCGGCTCAGTGTGTACGTGACAAGCTGCACACCTACTGTGGGCTGCGGCTTGCTAATGTTAGCTTAGCCTTGTACGCTACATTGACAGTTTACCTTCACGGTGCGGTGTGACAGGTCATACGTTTCATGATAGTTGTATTTTATCCAGTCTAACGAGTCCTTCAGCTCGGGTCTGGCGCTCCGTTTCGCCTCTTTAATCCTCTTCTTACTTTTATGGTTCATTTCTCCTCCGTGTGTTAACCGCTTCTCAGCTAGCTATCGAGCTAACCCAGGGCTAATGCAGAAATACATCCACTAGCCTGCACTGCAACCCGGCGGCTAGCTGCGCTGTTCTGACAGCCTCACCTTATGTATTTGATTAGATAACAAAACAAGTCTGTGAATGTGTTAAACACGTCCTCAGATCTACACCAACACATGTAAAGACACTTTTTAAAACCTGCTTGGTCGACACACTTTTGTTAAATAGCTAACAAGACAGCCTAGTTAGCTAGTGCTGGCAACTGATTGACATCCGTAACGCCCGCCTCTTTTCCGGAACAGAAAGCTCATTGGCTACTGCGTCCGCAAAAGCGATACGTTTATTTGATGGGATGTAGGTGAGCCTTCCCGCCAGGCATTAACTGTGATTTGATTGGCTGTTGCAGTCAGCAATACGGAACTAGACATAGCGTGGGCTGCTAGTGATAAACATAAATATCAATTAAATTAGAAATTGTTATCAGAAAAAAAGAGTCGTAATATAATAGCTGGTGATGTTATATGGTATTAGCCCTCATGATGGAACACAGTGAAGCCGAAACACCTAACATAACATACAAAACATTTACGTTTGAGGACAACAACGAAAACACACAAGAGTCCCTTTCTGTTTCAATACCTGAGGTACGTTGGAGTTTTTTTTTATTATAACGTTATTTAAATGAAATGATAACTTGGATGATTGGCATCTTTCTAACTATTAATGTATGGTTAATCTAAATGAACGATGTTATATACGTGGTTTTTACCTGCTTAGACAGCAAGCAATTGTAATTCTATACATTAGACCCACTACTTTTGGCCGTTCTCATTTCATCAAATTCCCCTCCTCGACTCCCCTCCAGATGGACAGATGTGTTCATGACGACTTATATATTTACTTTTAATTCATTGACAGTGCGGTATAATGAGACAATAACAGGCTACAGATGCACACACACACACACACACACACACACACACACACACACACACACACACATATATATATATTTATATATATATTTATATATATATATATATATTTATATAAATATATATATATATATATATATATATATATATATATTTATATAAATATATACAATTTCAGAATCAAACAGAGCACTCTCATAATAACGTAACACTATCAGAGACTGGATATATCCCCCCCTCTCCCCTCTCTGGTCGCTACAATGAGGAAAATAAATTACGGGCCAAAAGTTTTATTTACAAGTATTAAAAGTAAGCAGAGGACACCAAACCAACTGAGACCTGTCTGTCCGCTGCATCTACGCACACACTGTACCACACACACCTACACCACACACACG